TGTTTCTAATTCCTTTCACATCTCCTGAAGGGCCAGCTCACCCTCTTTTAGCTCAAAAGAAGGCCTATACAAACTGAGATGGACTTTTGATAAGGGTGGAGAGACACTTGAAATAGCTCTCCTGGGAATTAAGAGTTGAGGTGAGGTCATTTAGAGGATGATTACCTCTGGGATTTTAAGGTCAATGAATCTGGAGGTGAATGTCATGTGTGAGCAGAGGACAGTCTTTATAGTGAATAAAGCAAATCACACTGAAGAAAAGGAAAGGTAACTACCTAGAAAGAGAAGCTGTCTGAAATCGTTACAGTACTCATCAGGCACAGCCATTTATTTACTTCATGTCTGTGATTCCTGTGTTCTTAAGCTAGTTTGAGTGGGTTACTGTTCCACTGAATCACTAAGGTATAGTTCTGAGCTTCCCCGGTTGGCTCAGATGGTAAAGAATCTGCCTGCAATACAAGAGGCCTGGGTTTCATCCCCGAACAGGGAAGATCCCCAGGAGAAGGGAATGGCTACCCCCACTCCAGTATTCTTGCCTGGAGAATTTCATGGACAGAGGGCCCTGGCAGGCTACGGTGTCACAGAGAGTCACAAAGAGTTGGACATAACTTGAGTGACTAACATTAACAAGGTATAGTTTAATTCCATTTGTGATTTTTTAAGTTTTAAAAAGCTGAGAACTGGGAATTACACTGCACACTATTTACTCAATATAATAAGAATAGTGATCTCAAATCAGCATCCATTCTATACATTCACTATTAATATTAGGAAATTAAGTCTAGAGTGTGACAAGAATATTTCCCTAAGAGTATTCATCACAGTATTATTTTTTTATCCAGTGTTAAGGAAAAGATTGCCATGTACAGTCATAGTATGGAATGATTTTAGTGGCTGCAAAATGGAGTTTTTAGTGGGAAAATGTCATAATATGTCATGGGAAACAACCTGTATCAATTTGTATATAAAATATGGTGGCAGCTATACAAAACTACGTAGAAAAAAGGATGAGAAGTAATACTAGTTGCCCATGGCTAATAGGATTATGAATGGATTTTTTTCTGCTTTTTATAACTTTACAAATTACCATCCCCTCCAAAACAAAAAAGGTAGAAAGAAAGGAAATATTCCTTCCATGTAGAGTAAGCATGCAATACTGAGTTGTCTCATGTATAAATGCAGCTCTTACATAACTTTTTGTGAATGATACTAAAGGTATATGGTTACACAAACCTAGTTCAGTGCTTTGCTCACTTGAATGCATGTAAGAATCACCTGGGGAACTTGTTAACATACAGATTCTAGTTGGGTGTGGGGTGAGGCTTGATGTTCTGCTTTCCTAACATGTTCCTAGGTAATGTCAGTGCTGTTCTGGGAATTATAAGTATTTTCCTAATTATATATAGATAAAAATTATTTTTATATAGATAAAAATTAAACAATATGAAATTGAAAAAGCATCCAATTATCTTCAGAGTGGTGATAATACTTAAGTGAACTAAATGGTTTTACTCTCACATTATTACTGTGTTTGTTGGATAATGTGCTTTCTTATCACTGCAGACACTGGGATTTCCCATACAAAGACACTCAGTTGTAGCACAATTTTTTTTATAACAGAATGAAATGTTCTTTCTCTGCATGCTTTATTGTGATGACTATGACTTACATTCACAAACAGTTTTGGGCTCCATGGTCAAACCCACAAGTCCACATTCCTACAGGGTGGAATGCAGGCTCAGACCTAGATTTGTGAAGTTCTCCAGTGAATTGGAAATATAAAATAATTAAACAAACTGGTCCTTCACCACAGATGGTGTTTGAGAAGCACTGCTGTTGAACATTGCATGCTACATACTAGGTGCTTAGAATTACTTGCTGAATGAATGAATAAATACAAAAAGTGCCACTATTATAAATGAATAAATAGAAAAGTGCAACTATTAAAATTTTTTTCCTCATATTAATGCTTATATGTTGTGAGTGACAGTTTGTTTATTTGTTCAGTATTTATGTGATACCTGCCTTTTTTTTTTTTAAGCTATACTGAATGGCGTGCAGGATCTTGGTCTCCCACCGGGGACAGAACCCACGCCCCTGCAGAGAAACGCAGTCTTAACCACTGGACCGGCGGGGAAGTCCTCATACCTGCTTGTTAACTAGACATTATTAACCAAATCTCTCTACTCTCTAGTCAAGCCAGCAAGTTTATTAAGTTCTATAGATGTCCACAGATAAAGGGTGGTTTTCTCCAAAATTATCAGAAAAGAGAGTTGCTTTGTATTTGGGTTTTTATGAAGTCAAATTACAGAGCTCTGTCTCAGTGACATAGCTTTGAGAGCAAAGTACTGTCGCCTCAATCAGTGCTGTTACGTGCTTGTGGAGGTCACCTGAGAATTGCTAGAAAAGGTAGCAAAGACACTGAACATGAATTCAGTAACTTATTCTTCATACCACTAGCATAGACAGCAATGTGAACAAGCCTTTTAAAGATCACTCTGAGAAACGGTACTGTATGTGGTTATGTTGTGAAGATCAAGAGTAAACACCTATAACGTGCACTGTTGTTGTCGGTCAGCTGCTCATTGTGTCCGACTCTGAGCTCCCATGGACCGCAGCACGCCAGGCTTCCCTGTCCTTCACTGTCTCCTGGAGTTTGCTCAGACTCGTCCACTGAGTCGGTGATGCCATCCAACCATCTCATCCTGTCACCCCCATCTCCTCCTGCCCTCAGATGCACTAGATATGCTGTTATGAAGCTGAATAATTCCCATAGGCATATGGGCTAAATCGTGTCTTCCCAGAGTTTGTATTTTGAAATTCTCACCCCGCAATGTGACTTCTTTGAAGATAGGGCCTTGAAAGAGGTAATTACGGTTGAATGAGATCACAAGGGCAGGGCTGTAATCCAATATGACTTGTGTCGCCTAAATGAAGAGACACCAAGAATGCATGTACTCAGAGAAAGAGGCCAGGTGAAGACAGCAAGTAGGCGGCCATCTGTCAGCCGAGGAGACAGACCTCAGGAGAAAACAAACCGGCCAACCCCTTGACCTGGGACTTCCAGCCTCCAGAACTGAAAGAAAATAAATATCTATTGTTTAAGCTGCCCAGCTTATGGGACTCCGCTCTGGCAGCCTGAACAGACTAATACAATACAGCATCCTATATGCTGGCTCAAATGGCAGAGCTCCCCAAACACTGTGGATGGAAGTTCAGATTATGTGTCCTGGAAACCCGCCTAGACGGTTCAAAGTGGTCCTGCTCTGAGGAAGAAGCAAGTGGCAAATATGTGCGTGAAATTTGATTGGAATTGTTTCATAAAATAAGCATGAAAAAGGTAATGTTCTAAAAATATTATTAGTATTAAAAGTTGACATTTAACTATTTCATCTGTATTCCTTTACATTTTTCTAGTAGAGTTTGCTATTAAAAAAAAAAAACAACTTTTTTTTATTTCAAGAAAATGGGAGATTGCCCTGTAATTAGACTTTCTGAAACTTTGTTGTTGTTTTTTTTTAAAGACCAAAGTATAGCCCTCATGAAGAAATAACATGATATTATTTAGTATAGGGATCAGTCAAATTAGCTTTGGAATAAAAATGACATAATAGAGTTTATTTGAATTTCAAACAAATGCTTTATGCATAAATTTGATGGGAGTTGATCCTGTGGATATATAGTATGAATAGCTATATGTTGTTTAAATAATACACCAAATTAGAACCCTCTCCTTTATCCCCTGCCCTGCCATCAGTGGCCATTGTTTTCTGGGTCACAGAAAATGCTGGTATTCACTGAGTATAAATGGAATTGTCCAGTGATGTGTAACCATTTCTTTTTCATTTTGACATTCTCTTTTACATTCAGTAACCATGTATTTCTCATCCTAACAAGTTATTGGTAGTCCCAAATTATGCATTTCCTTGCCATGGTTATGCAGAAAAAAGTCAGCCTAATCCCAGGTTCATTAGTGAAGATATCACATTACTAACTTCACTTTGAACTTGGACATGCTGCAAGGTGGAGATTCATGGAGCAATGATTATTAAACAGGGAACACTCACACACAAATTTTCTAGGCTAGTTACCCCTATGACAAAACTGACAAAATGCCTGCAAATACTCTCTTCTTCAAAGTTTCCCTACCAGGGAAATACCTACCAAAACCAGAAACCATTGTACCAGTCTAAAAAGCTTTTCTTGTGAAGAGGTGAAACCTTAGGGACCACAAGATGTAAATAAAGTAGGAATATTATTATTGCCTTGTAATGAAACCAACATGAAGAGATGCATATAAAATAGGTAGGAGGCTACAGACTGAAGCATAAGTTTTGGTCAAAGTGGGGATTTAGGTGCATGTAAATGAGTGGCTCAGCGGTAAAGAATCCGCCTGCCAATACAGGAGATGTGGGTTTGATCCCTGGGTCAGGAAGATCCCCTGGAGAAAACAGCAGCTCTCTCCAGTATTCTTGCCTGTGAAATCCCATGGACAGAGGAGCCTGCCGGGCTACACAGTCCATGGGGTCGCAAAGAGTCGGACACCACTTACCGGTTAACCACCACCAACAAAAGAACTTTAGGTGCTTCCCAGATGCACCTGGTCCAGAGAATAGAGTCACGCTCACATAAAGGATATGGTTCATATGAATAAATGTCTAGAGTCTAAAAGAGGTTGAACTAAAGATTGCCTACCCCACCCCAGTGTGCCTTTTCTCTTAGCAAAGCAGTGCGCTTTTCTAAGAGATCCCAGTAACAACTATCATCAGTTGCTACAGGTGTCTCTATACCCGCAGTACCGAGTATAATGCTGTGTATACAATAAGCGGTTAATAAGTGTAAATTAAACCAGTAAGTGCCTTGTCAGTGTAGTTTTGGAAAGCTGGAGAAGGGTGGGTACTGGGAACTTTCTTTTCATCATAACCTTAAATTATGTCTCATCATTCAATTATTTCTGTAGTACATACAGAAGAATGTGAAATGCATAGAATTACAGGCATTTATGAGAAAATCGACCAGTATATTAAATTGAATAAGATGTATGCAGCTGGAAAAATGATCCTCGAGTATTTATCGATGGCGTGGGTGTCAATCCTCATGCTCACGTAGCTGCTCCTCTGGCTTTTCCTCCGCGGGGAGCTCCTCTCCGAGGCCAGCGTCAGCTGCACCATCATCCTGTCTGGCTTGTCTCCGTTCTCGGGGGTACAGCTGCCCAGGTCGTTCACCTCCCCGTCGCTGTAGCTGCCGTCCAGGAGGACCGCGCGTGGCTGAGGCAACCCGCAGGCGCAGGGAAGCTGCGGACACAGCAAATGCACGCTGGAATGCGAGCTCAGCCCACAGAGCTGCACGGGGGAGGGGATCGCCTTTTCCTGCTTTCTTTCAAGGTGCGTGTGAGTTGCTCAGTCGTGTCCGACTCTTTGCGACCCCCTGGACTGTAGCCCACCAAGCCCCTCTGTCCATGGGATTCTCCAGGCAAGAATACTGGAGTGGATTGCCATTCCCTTCTCCAGAGGATGTTTCTGACCCAGGGATCAAGCCCTAGTCTCCTGCGTTGCAGGCAGATTCTTTATCACTTGAGCTACAGGGAAGTCCTTTCTTTTAAGGGGCTGGGGAAATCATGATGGTGGCACTGTATACATTTTATCAGTGAAAGAGCAGGTAACCCATCAACTGTTAGGAAACACCAAATCATATCGGAGCCCCACAAGGAGGTTCATGATCAGATAATCGCCATGTTCTCTGATATGACCCCTGATAGAAATATTTGCAGTTATTGTGTGTGTGGGGGGGGGGGGGCGGGGGGAGAAAGAGAGATGGAGTGGGAACTTGAAAGGTGTGGCGTTGTGGGGATAGGTTCCTCTACAGAGGCTGAGTTTTCTGGAGGAGATAATCACTGAACTGCAGACCGGAGAATGAAGGGGAAACCAGGTGGGAGGGAAGGTGATCTGAGAAGTGATGGGAGTTGTATGAGCTCACACATGAAGGAAATTTGCCTAGAATGTGCTTCCTTGGAATCTTATATATACATATATAAACTTTCAAGAGACAGACATATCTATCCACCTATCTATGTATAATACATATAATGTTTATTGCAGCATTTATTAAGGTGGCCAAAAATGGGAAAAAAGCCCACTGCCCATCAATAGAGGAATAAATCATATTATAATACATCCAAGACATTCTTTATTATACAACTATTAAAAAGATTGTCTTGGAAACAGACATTTCTGGAAGCTTCTTTTATGACTTCTCTATGTTCATAAATCATTTGTCCCGCCATGTTGAATTGACATTTACCTTTATCACTGAACTAGGAACACCACCAAGATTGAAAAGACCTCACCTTAGTTAACTTGACTTAGCAGTTTCTGATCTACCTGTGCTCAGTCGTTCAGTCCTGCCTGACTCTTTGAGATCCCATGGACAGCAGCCCACCAGGCTCCTCTGTCCATGGAATTTTCCAGGCAAGAATACGAGAGTGGGTTGCCATTTCCAGGAAGCTAGTTTATGGTAGGTGCTAAATAAATGGTTGAATGAGTGAAAGAGGTCGCTCAGAGTAAGTTTCACGCCGTTTTCACTTATTCTTTTGTTTGCTCTTCACAGCCAACCGGTGAAATGAGTGGAAGAGGGAGGGCCATGACCCCGTTCTGCAGAGGAGGTGGGACCTGCCCCAGGCCCACGGCTGGACCCGATCCTGCCCTCGCAGACACTCCTGCTCACGGGAAAGTCACCTTCTCCTGCGGCTTCCGCGCCTTGCGCTCCTGCACGGTGGTCAGGTAGTTGACGGCCGCGTACTCCAGCACGGAGAGAAACACGAAGACGAAGCTGACCCAGAGGTAGATGTCCACGGCCTTGATGTAGGACACGCGGGGCATGGAGGCGTTCACGCCCGTGATGATGGTGGACATGGTCAGCACCGTGGTGATCCCTGCAGACGGAGAGAAAGGAGCAGGGGTGGGGGTCTCTCACCGAACCCACTGGCTGGCTCCGCGCCTGTCTCCTCTCTCCCAGCTGCTCCTCTGCCTAGAACGTCTCCCTCCCTGCCCCTCCAGCTGCTCACCTTTCCCGTTGTGGCTTTTATGAAGTTTCTCCTAGTCCTCTGCTCCCAGCTGTATCCCTGAATCTTTTATTTATTCATTTTTTTTCGCCCTGCCCAGTGGCATATCTTAGTTCCCAGACTAGGGATTGAACCCGTGCGCCCTGCAGTGAGAGCACGGAGTCTTAATGCAGCCGAAGTATGGCATCTTCAGCTCAGGACCGCCAGGGAGTTCCGCCTCCTTGTGTCTGCATCATGGCACCTTTATCACTGTTTTTCTGCAGAGAGCCCCTGACAGCTTAGCAGTACAATTCTTTCCATTCAGCTGTTTAAAACAAAGATTGCAGGGGAGTTCCCTGGTGGTCTAGTGGACCAGGATTCAATCCCTGGTCGGGAAATTGAGATTTTGCAAGCCTTGCGGAATAGTCAAAAAATAATTAACTTTATTTTATAAAATAAATACTTATAAACAAAACAAGAAGATTGTATATACAAGCAGGTATGTATGTTTCTCCAAAAGAGGGGGGAAGTATACAAGTTGTATTTTAATCTTTGTGTCCTTGCTGCTGGTGTAGAATGCTGTAGTCCTCGGCCTGTGTTATCAGCGGTCAGGACCTGTCTGGGTCCTAGACCTGGCTGCCCATTCTGCAGTGCTGACTTGAGGACCCTATCAGTTTTACCAAGAATGATGTTAACCTCATTGATGGGAGACAGATTTCTGAAACTAGAATGTTTATTTATTCAGCACAGTAACTGTTCAAGCTACAGAACAACCGTTAAAGGCCAGGGCATCTGTCAGTGGGAATGTCCCTGAGATTTCAAATTAAGCCCAGAACATTTGCTTGGCAAACGCCAAATCACAGCGGATTGGGGTCATCTTAAGGGCCAGCACCAATCCAGTTTCACTAAAACCTGGTGAGTCATCCTCTCCCTTGAAGGCCCTGGACCTCTGAGCCACGGTGGTGCGTGTGGAATAGGTGCAGTATTTAAATCAGGGAAGAGAGTGGATGGCAAACAGCTATTGAGAGTATAGTAGGGATTCTCAGACTTGAGCATGTATAAGAATTACTAGGGAAGGGACTTCTCTGAAGTCCAGTGGTTGAGACTTCACCTTCCAATGCAGGGGTGCAGGTTCAAGTTCTGCTCAGGCAACTAAGATCCCACATGCCTCTCAGCCAAAAAACCAAAACATAAAACAGAAGCAGTGTTATAACAAATCAAATAAAGACTTTAAAAATGATCCACATCGGGAAAAAAAAAAAGGTGTACTGGGGGAGTTGTTCAAAATGAAAATTCCTGGAACTCTCTCAGAGATTCTGATCCTATACATGTAGATAGGCCCCAGGATTTTTCATTTTAAACAATTTCCCCCAGAGAATCTGTCATAAAGTTCCCTTGGGCCACCTTTTGAAAAGCCCTGTTACAGAATGTGACTTTTCTTATCCAGATGAGCAGAGAAAAGTACTGCAGTCCAGGACAACCCACTCCAGAACTCAACTCTAATAAGATTAAAGATGAACTGTTTGCGTGGACTCCCAGGGGGACCTAGAAACGGCTTCACTACACAGACTCTTAATAGTGGCATTACACCTGTGGATGAACAACTTGATGTTTTTCTGAGTTATAATGCCCACAGGGATTCAGGACCCATTTGGAAAGAAGGGTTTTATCTGGAAGGAATTCCTCGTATTTTCAGATGTCTGGAGCATACACTTGAGATGTTGCTTACCCAGAGGGACTCTGGCGGGCACGGCTCTGCGGTCGATCCAGAAGGACACCCAGGACAGCATGACCATCAGCGTGGCGGGAAAGTAGGTCTGGAGCAAGAAGAAGAAGATGTGGCGACGCAGCGTGAAGTTGATGTACAGACGGTTGTACCATCCTGCGGGACACAGGAAGAAGAAAGAATACCCTCCATAGCCGCTCAGCTTCCCCATAGGACAGATTTTATTCAGAGAACCATAAATGCCTTAGACCCTTGCCTGGAAACTTACCCTACCTTTATAAAATGGAAGACAGAAAAACCACGGAACAGAATGATTATGTGATAACTCACATCATAAGGGTTAGTACATTTCAAGGAACCTTTGGCCCCCATCCTGTACACAAAGGGACCCCTTGGGAAGGCCGTGTAAGACTCTTGTTACTCCAGTTTGGCTCTGGGCCCAGCAGCATCACCATCACCTGGGTGCTTGTTAGAAATGCAGACTCTCGGACCCTGCCCTGGATCTACTGAATCATGACTTCCTTTTGGGAATTTCCTGATCGTTGAGTGATTAGAACTTGGTGCTTTCACTGTGGTGGCCCAGGTTCAACCCCTGGTTGGGGAAGTAAGATCCCATAAGCCCTGCACTGTTGTCGGAAAAAAAAAAAAGAAACTTCTTTTAACACTCCTCTCCACACAATTTCTACATATGTTAGAGCTTGAGATGTGTGTATTTAACAACTCCCTCTGTATTTCTTTATGGGGGAAAATATGTTTAAATAAAAATACCAAGCTCACTGCTACAGGGCATTTAGGCTCTGCTTTATCTTCACCCTCCACTTGTGTGGAGGAATTGAAGGGAACAGAGAATGGTGGAAGGAGAGGAAAAGGCAGGATAAACTTGACAAGAACTGAAAATAAAATGGGGACTTGGCAACATTAACTGGAAAACTGGCATCCCAGGACAATTTTAGTGCAACAGCTATATTTATAACAGCTCCAGAAAGTGATTGTGGAGGTGCTAGAGATTGAATATGTCCTTCTCAAATTCATGTGTTGAAACCTAATCCTCTAAGTGATGGTATTTGGAGGTGGGGCCTTTGGAAGGTGATTTCATTGTGAATGGGATTGGTGCCCTTATACAATAGGCCTCAGAGAGCTCCCTTGCGCCTTCTTTCATGGGAGGACACAGTGAGTCCTAAGGAAGCGGGCTCTCACCAGACACTAAATATTTCAGACTCCAGGGAAGATGAGCCTGTCTGTGAGGCTCTGTGGGGGTTGTAAGGAGGGTGAGTTTCCTTGATCCTGACTTCCCAGCCTCCAGAACTGTGCAAAACAAGTTCCTGTTGTTTAGAAGCCACCCAGTCTGTGGCTTGTTGGTAAAGAATCTGCCTGCCAGTGCAGGAGATGCAGAAGATGCTGGTTCGCTCCCTGCATTGGCAAGATCCCTTGGAGAAGGAAATGGCAATCCACTCCAGTATTCTTGATCCCATGGACAGAGGAGCCTGGTAGGCTAGTCTATGGGGTTGCAAAGACTCGGACACAACTGAGCGCGCACACAGATACACACAGAGTTATGGTAGTTTTTTTATAGCAGCCCAAGCACACTCAGACAAGAGGGAACGTCAAAATGCTAAGAGTCAAAGGAATGAGGGTTCCCCAAAGGACCAAGATGGGTGGGTGAGGTGTGCAAAAGACAAGAGATGTGATTTTGGAAATGAGCAATGCCTTCTGTTACAGATCAACGAGTGTAGTCACCACGCAGTGTGTTAGCAACAGCAATTGCAGAAAGATAAGAGCAAAGTCATCTTGAAAGGCGATTAGTTGAGAAAGAGGCAAGGGCTGGAGAGAGTGAAACTCAGCTGGAACCTGCCCTCTGGCTCACAGGAGGGTCACAGGAGGAGCTGTGCAAACAGTACAGCAGCAGGGGATTGCTTACGACAGAAGCACCCAAAGGGGCTGAAGTCAAGAGAACTGAACAGAAGATAATAAACCTGAAATGGACCTATCTTTTGTCCATAGGAGAGGGGTCTCCGGGAGTCATATCAAGGTGAAATTTCTGCTGTTAAACTGTCAATGCAATTGTCTCAAATAGACCTACACAGAGGGCTTATGTTGGAGTTTTTATTAAGATTTTCTAGGTTATCACTTGTGATGCTCTGGTGGTATCAAAAACCTCCCTCACCCCGTGCTCACCACCCTCTAGACCCGATCTGGAAATTTCATCTTTGGTTTCACATCCTAGAGGCACTGGCTCTGCTCACTTGATAGCCAACCCACACGCCTCCTGAGATCCAAGCAGCCCCCTCTCTTAGCCCGCCTCACCTGTGCTGCTGTAGAAGGCCAGCTTCGTGGTGGTGTGGAATTCCTGGATGAGGAACTGGGAGAGGGAGATCCGCTCATCTGTCTTTAAGGAGTCATTGCCTTTCTTCCAGTAGAGCATGAGGTCATCTTCCGTGTAGGCGTCTGAAAGACAAGATGGCATCAGACGCCGGGAAAGATGAGCCTGTCTGTGAGGCCCTTTCGGGGTTGTAATGAGATCAGCTGAATAAATAAACTGCAGTCTAACAAAGCAAAACAAAATCCAAAAAGACAAATCTAATTCTTCTCAGTCTTCCAGAATCATCAGGGCAAAGCTCTCAGGCCTAAATACTCATCCTGACTGCAAAAGTGTTCACCGTTCAAGTCAGCCTAAAAGCAGATGAAATTGCTATTTTTGTAGACCAGAAACTACAATTTGCTCTTTAAAAAAAAAATTTTTTTTTTCTTTTGCAGGTGAAATAGCAGCAACATTTCATATCGTTAAACTTTCTAAACCACAGGTAATTTAGCCCTTTCTTCTTTCAAAGGGTTATGATGCATCATTGATGGCAAATACCTTTAAACACTCTCAGGTAATAGGGGCTGCATTCTAGCAAGAAAAGACCCACAAGGAGATTTGCAGCCAAACGAGTCTTTCTCTGCAGGCCTCTTGTTCCCTCGTTTGCCCTCAGGGAAATCCCCTGAGGATCCCTCCCTCTGGCCCCATAGTTCCCCACCCCACTTATTTTAGGTGAGCACACCGTTTACCCCAGCCTGGCAGACCTACCAGCTATTTGGGCAGAACTGGGGGTAAAACCTGAAGGGGCTGCTCTTGCGTCAACAGTTCTTTCTGGGGCTCCCCGAGGCTCTGTTTTATTCCTCTTTTATTCTACTTTTAACCTTTGACCTATGCATGACCCCTTTCACGTGTCTACTTGGCCAGGCTATCGTGAGTATCCAGTGATTCAATCCGGCACTAATCTGGGTGCTGCTGGGGAGATGCGTGTTGCGTTGTTATCTACACCCAGCTCACTTGAAATAGAGACGACCCAGGATAACCTGGGTGGGTCTGATCCAGTCAGTTGAAAGGCCTTAAGAGTGGACCTGAGGTTTCCTGGAGGAAGATTAAAATTCCACCTGTGGACAGCAGGGTGGGCCCCTCTGCCCACGAGGCCCCAGCCCGCCCTTCCCCACCACCTGCCCCGCAGGAGCTCACGTAAGCCAGTCCCGGCACTAGCCGTCTCCCTGTGTATGTCCGATGGCAGCCGGCCCCAGCATCTTTGGCTCCAGGGGCCAGTTTTGTAGAAGACAGTTTCTCCAGGGACCAGGGTAGGGGGCATAGCTTTAAGCACATCACATTTTTTGTGCACTTTATCTCTATTATTATTCCATCGGCTCCACCTCAGATCATTAGGCATCAGATCCTGGAGGCTGGGGATCCCTGTCCGATGGTTCTGCTTCGCTGGCGGAAGCCTGACAGGTACCACTGCCTGGGTGTCTGGGGAAAGCCAGATTCTGGAGCCAACGATTAGTCCTTTGCTGCAAAGCTCCATGAAGGAGATAGCAGTAACCTTCTCACAGGGAGCTTGGGAGGATTAAAGGGCAGAGCAGGCGGAAAGCCACGGTGCACGAGGCAGTCACTCCCTTGGTCCTGGGACTTATTCTCCCTGACCCCACGTGGAGCGGCCCACAGACCTGTCCGTCCTACGTGTGGAGTCCGTGTCCCTGCGCCCCCTCGGCCCTGGGTGATTGGAGCCAGGGGACTCCTGATCCACCACCACAGCCCTGGCAGGCTCAGCAAGACGCCCCGGGCCAACGAAAGCCCTCGCTGGGACTCTGGCATGGGCTGGGACGTGTCAGGGCTGTGCGCTGGTTCGAGATGAGTGTCGGAGTCACGGTGGGGGGGACCAGGCTGTGACGGTCAGGGAAAGCATTTTGGCAGAGACTGGAGCACGGGGCAGATGCGTAGAGAGCTAGGGATGCCAGTCCTGGACGCGGCCGCAGCCTTGGTCCTCCTACGGCTATTTACTTTTCCAGGGTTTCTGCATGTGTGTGAGTTTCCCGAGGCCCCTAGGTTATGCCTGAGTGTCTCACTCACGGTGGCTGTCCCCTGGGGCAGCTGCTGCCCAGTTGTTTTTGCCAGGAAATTCTTTCTTCAGGGGAAATCGTCCTCAGAAGAGCAATAAAAGAGATCCACAAGGAGCTCTCTGGTGGACTGTGTGATGAGTGCTTGCCTGGGGAACTGCCCTGGGGAACTGGGAAACCTTCAGTTTCCACAGGACCAAGTTTATAACCACTGCCATGAGTATTTAAAGGGTCAATTATGGGAATAGAAGGTCTTAGTGCCAAATTTGTTCCTGATTTTCAAACTTACCCGAGACATCGCTTCCATCTGAAAAGTCATCTCAAAAGCACAGTCACCTGTGATAACCTAGAGGGGTGCTGGGATGGGGTGGGAGGTGGGAGGGAGGTTTGAGGGGGAGGGAACATACATACACCTACGGCTAACTCATGATACATGGCAGAAACCAACACGATATTGTAAAGCACTTACCCTCCAATTAAAAATAAATTAATTAAAATGTATTAAGAGATTAAAATTTCATGTTAAAAAAAAAGCAGAGTCACGAATAGGAAGACGTCCTGCTCCTACTCCTGAGAGTCGGAGGTGTCCAGGGTAACTTAGGGTCTGCGGGGGCTGGCTGGGCACAGGCTTACTCACAGCTCTCAATTTCAAGCGAGCACGTTTGTGAGTCCAGGGGAAACCGGCTGAAGTCCATGTTGCACATGGCAGTCACTGTAACCCTGGAAACAAACAGATAAAAATCCCGATGTGCGGAGGCTGCAACACATAAGCGCAAAATGGTAAAACAAAAAGAGAAGGCCTCTGCCTCCTCCCAACATAACTGCCTTCTTATAGTTCTTAAGCACTGTGCCAGGACCTAGAGAACCAGGCAGCTTGTGTGTGATTTCCACTCGGGAGTACTCTTGGGTGTTTATGTTTAACCCCAGGCTCACCATGGGGCCGACAACGACTCCGCTAACCCCCATTGCATGCAAGCATTTTAGAGAAGCAATGATCTCCATCGATAAAACAATGTGGGGACTTCTTTTGTGGTCCAATAATTAAGATTTCGCCTTCCATGGAGGGGCTGCAGGCTCAACCCCTGGTCAGGGAGCGAAGACCCCACATGCCTTGTGGCCCGAAAATCAAAACATAAAACAGAAGCAGTAGTATAACAAATTCAATAAACATTTTTTTAAAAGAGCCACTCCTGAAATTAAAAATAAAAAATAAAACAATGTGAAACCACAACTCATATGGTTTCTTAAACGAAACCATAGGAATACATTGCTCTCCTGTTTCAGATTCATTCAAATTCTTCTTTTCTTGATTTTACTGAAACTCAATATATGTGTACAATGTTTTTACAATAATATTCATGAAGTATTTATGCCAGTTGCCAAATTAGGCACTTTATTTTTTTTTTACAATGTTGATATTTCTATATTGATAATAACATCTACTAGTGGGCTCAGGTGTTCTGAGTGGATAATTCCATGGAGATCATAGTAATGGAAAAACACTGGAAGATCTTATGCGTCAACATGCAAGCACTTGCTGGCATCTAATGGTTTTGCTTTAGAGTTTACACAGGAAAATTGCATCAAAGAATAAGCAAATACAGATCGTTAATCATAAAGAAAGATCTCCCACCCAGTGTGGAATTTCATGGCAGGGTATGATTACCAGTCATTAGCTAGTGAACATCCTATTTTTCCTTCAGCCACAGAAAATTTGCTATGTATAAGTTATGAAAATTATCAGGATAATTCATGGCCACAAAGAAAAATCACTTTTAAATGGAAATTTCAAGGAAAAGAGCTTTTTTGAAACTCAGTTATCCAGATATTTGCCTTATTTTCCTCATTCCATTCGAGTGTTGTGGTCTGGGAGCGATCTTGTATTGTTACCAGCTGGATCATCTTGTCTCTCCTGGGACTACTGATACACAGGATGTTTTTCTGGGGGTGGTCAGGCCAGCCTCTGACTTGGACACCTAATGGGTGGGCTCGCATTTCTATGGGCACATCACCAGCACAGCCACACCTGATGGCGTCACCAGCCAGAAAGAAACTGGGAGCTAAGCTTGGAGACACTTGTGGCAAACTTTGGGGACATCAGATGTCAAATCCAGGTAGGTGTTACTATGAACAAAAGTATTAAATAGCCCTTCTCTCTGTTACCAATCGATGCAGGAACAGGCGTTGTAGAATCACAGACCTCATCAGACTTGTTCTTGGCACCCTGACTTGATGGTTCTCCACTTGTAACTCAAGCATTGAACAAGCAGCACATGTGGTGTAATCTCACCCACACTCACTGTTGTTTCCCTCAAGTCCTTTTAAATTATTTCATCTAGAGCATCTTCCCTTGGACGCTTGGCCAGTCCTGAGATTTTCCTGCTTACGCCTCTCATGTAACAGGCGCTCAAAACCCTCAGAAGTAACCAAACATATCTCAGTTCAGAAACAAAGAGTTTCGGTCCAAGGTATTGACACTTCAGACTTCACTCACATTAAGACTTCTGCTCCCCCTTCCCAGCTAAGGCACAGAGTTGGCACTTGAGTGGTCAGTGTCTGCCCGTCTCTATCACCTCCTACGTGGGTAGAGGGAGATAAGAGGGGGGTGGTTCTCTGGTGAGGTGGTTTCAAGCTCTCTGGGACCACTATATGGTTGAAGCTGAGACTTTCTCCCCAGGTCCTTCATTCCCGCCGCGGGGCACCTCCATCCTCCAGCAGCATCTTCCACTCCATCTCTTGGCTCACCACTCTCCATGCCCCGCATGCTGAACTATTCCCAACAAGCCTGGGTGTGCAGACTGGCCCCATCACGGCCAAAACTCCTTCTAGCTCTGCCCTCAGTGGTTAGACAGCTCTTCTCTCAGCCTCTAGCTGTAGTGTCCCCCAACCATAGGCACACAAGTGTCCCGTGCAGTCCAGCAAATGGCATGCCCACACCTCTCTCCCAAGAACAATCTCTTCCTCCCAGCAATCATTGACTCTCAAATCTTGAAACTGACTGGGAATTCAGGAACCGTGGAACTGATTTTTCAGTCCACCTAGTGTGATGGAGCATCTCATTTGTGAATTTCGCTTGTTATTGTTTCTTGATGCCTAGGAAACTTCACCATCCTGTTACCTGCCACTCCCCGCCCACCCCTCCCTGGTGTCCGTACCTGTCTCTGCATCAATCCTTTGGTTCCTGCAGGTCTCCCCCACTAGGCTGCAGTCATGCTAAGCTCACTGACTTTATATTATTCATCTTTATGTGCCCAGAGCTTAAGACAAGACCTGACAGGGTTTTTATCTGCACAGCTCTGGGGGCCACACTTAATATGAACACATTCTATTGAATGGATCAGTGATTGTGGATGAGGCGGAGGGCAACGTATTAGTACTGATTTAGTGTTAACCTGCTGTTGACAGAGGTGACAGTATCCAGCTCCTCCGTGTTTTCCCCCAAATAAATCTCAAAGTAATAGCCCTCACTAATTCAGACCTCTTTATTTCTCTCTTAAACAAACCCATCATTTCATTTGCAATGAAAAATCAAATTATATGTTTTTAGGCACCTGGAGTCTCACTGACAACTTCTTTCCTCTCTTCTGCCTCTGACGTCACGTTCAATAGTGCCGGACCGGACCTCCACCAGTTCATGAGACCTGACTGCTAGGCTATCAGAAGTTTACAAGCCACTTGTTGAACATAATTTTTTTTTTTTTTTTGGCTTTGCTGCTCAGCATGTGGGATCTTAGTTCCCTGATCAGGGATAGATCTCCCCTTGCATTGGAAGCGCAGAGTCTTAATCATTGGGCCACCAAGGAAGTCCCAAACATAACCATTATTAAAAATTAAAGTTCTGTTAAAAACAGAAGTAAAACTCTGAGTCTGGTACCTAACTGCTTAGATTCTAAGCCAGGACGCAGCAATGAAAGATTACTATAAATATTCTTTAGGGGCAGAGATTCAGCTTCAACATTGCCATCTCTGACTCTAAAGATACACTGCATCGGTGCAGGCACTCCCTACTTAGACACTGGTGTGTGGATTCAGCTTTACCAAAATAAAGCCTGTAAAACTGAAACGCACTCTCAGCACAGCACAGGAGGAGTAGATCTCAGCCAGTAGCTGAGGTGCTGCTCCGTGAAGGCCTGCAGCTCATTCTACACGTGCTCCGGGGGGAGGTGGGCACCGAGATTTTCTCAAGGGGGCCCACAGGGAAAGCCCCACTGCGATGTCTGTGCTAAGGGAAGGTTATCCAGGTCAGTGCTTAATGAGTAGTTAAACATTTCTAAGGCTACTCTTCAGCCCATGGCACATAGCCAATATTTTATAATACCTGTAAATGGAGTATAGTCTATACACACACAGAATCACTATGTCGTACACCTGAAATTAATGTAATATTGTAAATCAACTGTACAGAAAGAATAAATGAATGAAAGCAAGGAAGGAAGAAAGGAAGAAAAAGAAGAAAAAAACATTTCTAAGTCATCTGAGCTCTTGATTTTATTCTTTATGTTTTCAAAGTGATGCTCAAAATACCATTTAAAATCCTCAAGTGGCCTGGGGTCCCCATAGTTTCTCAAGGAGGACACTGGTGAGAAGGGATTAAAAAAAAAAATGCCTAAGCTGACCAGGTGAGGTAGACGACTTTTTTTTTTTTTCAAAAGCAAAATTCCAAAATGGGAATCAGAGAGGTCAAATGAGGCAGGTCTTTGCGAAGAATTACATTATCTACTTCTTTGACTCCTACTAGAGAAATAAAACCTTCCTTAAACATTTGAAATTGAACTTGAACAGGGCCTAAATCATAAGCATCCGTATGAGAAATTTCCCCAAATGTACTTTCAAGGAGAAACAATCCTTTAAAAGGTTTACTCATGTGTAGGGGTAGGTTTTCCTGATGTTGGAAAGTCAGAGCCCCTGGAAAGTCAGAAGTTCACTGTTCAAGCCCAAAGCCAAAGCGCTGTGGTGTGGGGAGTGACTCTCTTGACTGACAAACGAGTTGCACTTCTTCCCAGCTTCGGGCTTAAGAGGACGCAGGGGAAGGGGCCCGGAAGGAGGCCGGGAAGGCTCACCTGAGGCTGTAGAGCACTTTGCCGTCGGGCTGGACCCGAAGCATCACGTTGTCTGTGGTGGTGTCGTGGATGAAGGAGCGCTTGGAGTGCACGAAGAACATGTCGGGGACCCAGATCTTCTTCACCAGCCGGCCGTCGAAGGTCATGCTGAGGTTGTTGGTGCTCGGGAAGGATAGCCGCTCGTCCTTCCAGTAATGCCGCAGGTAGAGCGTCATCGTGAAGTCCTGGGACCAGGGGCAGGATGGGAGCCCACAGTGACTGGCCGGGGGATGGCAGGGCGTCCTGCACCCCCACCCCCAGGCTGCGGGGTGAGCTGAGCCCAGGGAGGCCCGGCTTCTAGTCTCTGCCGCCTCAGGAGGCAGGGAGCCCTGCAGGCGGGATTCAGCAGGAGGCCCTACAGAGGGGGCCTGACTCCCACCCCGCCCCACCCCTGGGCGCTGGCCTCCGCTTGCAGAAGGCTGCTCCCGCCAGTGCTGGGACCCCAGCCTGAGGGCAGCCTGCCCACACACAGGGCCACCAGCCAGCCTAGAGTTCGTGCCGGAAGCAGCCCTCAGCCAGGGAGCAGGGCTGGGGATGGGAAAGGGGTGGGTAACCCAGCCCTCAGCCAGGGAGCAGGGCTGGGGATGGGAAAGGGGGTGGGTAACGCAGCTCTCTGGACCCAGAGTGGGGCTGAGGATGAGTAAGGGGGTGGGTAACCCAGCTCTCTGCCCCAGAGTGGGGACAACCCCGAGGTGAGCTCTTTGCTGACTCCCAGAGAAGCCCAGAGGGATTGATTCTCACATAGACCTGATTTGATGACGTGACCGTTTTTGCTTCCTTCCCTTTCCCTGTCTCACCTCTCCACCCTCTTCTTATATAGATAATTTTTTTTTGACACCACCATATACATATATATATATATATATGGGTTTCCCAGGTGGTGCTAGTGTAAAGAACCTGCCTGCCAATACAGGTAAACCCAGGAGATGCAGGTTCGATTCCTGGGTCAGGAAGATCCCCGGAAGGAGGGCACAGCAACCCACTCCAGTATTCTTGCCTGGAGAATCCCATGGACAGAGGAGCCTGGCGGTTGCAGTCCATGGGGTCACACAGAGCTGGAAATGACTGAAATGACCTAGCAGGCACACGCACACACACACGCACACGCACCCACACACACATACACACGCACGCACGCACGCGCACACACACACGCACGCACACACACATACACACGCACGCACGCACGCACGCACGCACACACACGCACCCACACACACATACGCACGCACGCGCACACACACACACACACACAGGCTTGCAGGATCTTCGTTCCCTGACCAGGAATTGAGCTCAGGCCCTCAGTAGTTAACGTGTGGAGTCCTGAGCCCTGGACCATCAGAGGGTGCCCCCGCTCTTTTCGTATTTCCTTGGTGTCTGTGTGGGCTCCGTCGGGTCTGACTCTGCAGCCCCGTTAGCTGTAGCCCACCAGGTTCCTCTGTCCATGGAGCTTTCCAGGCGGGAATGCTGGAGCGGGTTTGCCACTAAACTGCTCATGCCAGAAGGCTGGTCTCAGCTCTGCCTCTCCCCAGCTAAGACAAGTTTCTACAAGGTCCTGTCAGTCAAGGAGTTGTAGAATGTTCTATTTGTCAATCTAAGCCCATTTGAAAAAGAAAAACAGAGCTTTTTCTGCATTTTCACAGCCAGACATGGAGTCCACAGGAGTAGCTTGTGTCTGGCTCTTGGATCCCGCTGTCTGCTGGACGGCATTTGCCCAGAGAACACAGCCCGGGGACGAGGGCTGGACCCTGGGGTGGGGACGATCACGTCTGCCGTGCGGCTGTTTCACACCAGCTGGGCAGCTTTGAGCGGGTGTCTCAACCTCCCTGAGCTGCCTGTAAAATGAGTGCGTGAATTCCCACTGCCGGGAGTGGTGAGCCCGGGGAATTCTGGTGTGTGGAGTTCCTGGACCAGCGCAGGGCCTGAGGGGATCCCCCATCCGCAGCCCTGGTCAGAGAAGCGCTTACCATGTCCACCTCCGAGATGCTGTCCAAGCTTTCCACCTGCACGTCCACGCCCACAGGAATGGCCGGCCCTGGGGACAGAGCGTGGCAAGAGGGTTACTCTTTTTACTTGAACTCTGACTTTGAATGAGACAGGCATAAGGAGTATTTCTCCTAGAACGTTCAGATTTGAAGGTTTGGTGTCCCACATGCCAGGCTGGAGTCAAACCAGAGATTAAGGTGTGGCATCATGGGCTCGCTCCCTGGAATATTCCAGCTAAGGCAAAAAAAAAAAATTCTTTTCGTTTTGAATCAGTCAGGTGATTCTGAAACGAGGAAGTTAATACAAAGCATTTGTCTTTGGTCACATATGATCATTTAAAGGAACGATGAGACGAGTCAATCTTGGGTCCCATCTAAATAAGAGTTACTCCTCAACATGAAGTCACATGTTTTTTAATTTTTGTATTACCTCCTGATTTTGCACCCTCTTTCATCTTGGAAGCCAGTGTCTCTGGCCAGGAGAAAGGCCCTGTTGGTGAATTAGAACCAAGGTCATATTCAAAACATTTGCCAAGGTACCAATCTGCATCTTTGCTAGATGATGGAGTCGCCTCCATGGGGGATGTTATACACTGGGTGAATGTGAAAACATTATAATTGGGGGCATTTCTAGGCCATAAAAACTTAATATTTATAAAAAGAAAGAATTATCAGGGAAGTGGATTGCTGCCTCTTTTCCTCCCTGCTTTCAGGTGTATAGGACGGGCATGGAACATCAGCACAATATCATCATGGAACATCATCACAGAGTGAAAAGGTGACTTTGGGCCCAACAGCAGCAGATTAAGGACTGAATAAAGACTCCCTTCTGGAACCTGTTTATCCTTTAGGCAAAAGTGACTGGAAGAAATAAAAGGCATGAGAATGATTTCTGAAATAAACATTTTTTTCCCAGGGGGGAAAAAACACAAAACTCATAAGAATGAAAACCCTATTTGACTCTAAGAAACCTGAAATCTGGCAGCTGCAGGCTAAGCTTCAAAGGGCTCTAGCACTAAATCATTATTTTCTAAACAATTTTCATTTAATTAAACTCAGCAAACCACACTCTACCCTAGGACATGGGCCCAGAGTTCTGTCTGCCAGCTCCAGGATAAGAACAAATTTAGCCCAAGATTGGTATTTGACATTAAATTGATAATGCAGTTGTGATTTCAGGGGTGTGATTATTGTGCATTTTTAAACATATACTGCAGACAGAACTTTTACATTTTATTTAAAAAATTATGCATTTCTAGGAGCTATGAAAGTGAGCATCATTTAAGAAAATTTCAAAAACTGCTCCCACAAATCAAGAAATAAATTTAAAAGACCCAATTAAAAAAAAGATCGCTATTTCAGAGCATTTTCAGGAGGCAACTTTGGACCGCAACTGTCCCCACTGCCAGCTACTAGCCTCCCTGATACTGAGACATCCTTGTTGGGAGCTGTGGCCTGAGGACAGCTCGGCTGGCCTGGCCACCAACCAGCAGCTGCCTCCCAAGAATGCATTCAGCAGAGCCCAAGGGAGGCTGGCCAGGGCAGGTGCTCAGATGATGCTGAGGGCTCAGGCCTTGTTCACAACCTAGGCAGACCTGATTGGGGTAGGGAGCAATGCTGAATGGGTCCCTGGTCTGATGCTGCCCACAGACAGACAGAAGGACCTGCAAAGAAGACAAGCCCCAGGAGTGCATGCCTCATACCTCCAAAGCCAGGCCTCATGCTGAAATCGTGGTCATCTATCCTCAGAAGCTGCTCTGACTTTGTTAGCGGCGATTTCGTAATGTCAGGGCTTCGTTTAAGAACTGGGCTGCGGAGCAGGAGAAAACAGTTTGATCACGCACCCTGGTTAAGTCAGATGAACACTAGTCGCATTCAGACTTGATCTCGACAAGTTTGATGGGCTATGGGATTTCCTCTTTAAAACTACTGGAAATCCTCTCTTCCTTTCCCTGGCTTTCTGGATCAATGAACCAACCCAGAAGGTCCAAGACAGGAGTTTAGGAATGTGAATGAGGAGCTTGCAAAATAGCAACATCCACGGGACTTCCCCAGCGGTTCAGTGGTGAAGATTTTGCCTTCCATTGTAGGGGGTGTGGGTTAGCTCCCTGCTCAGGGAGCTAAGATCTTACATGCCTCATGGCCAAAACCCAAAAAAACATAAAACAGAAGCAATATTGTAAAAATTCAACAAAGACTTTAAAATAAAAAAATTATTTAAAAATCCAACATCCAGGCCCCATCTCAGAGGTGCCGATCTGGGCAGAATGCAACCTGGACATTGTTGTTTTTAAAAGCCTCCCAGGTGATTTTAATGTGAAACCAAGGCTGAAAACTGCTGGTCCTGGGGCTTACTAATAAGTCTAAACTCACCCAAAGCTCCTCGGCCATTTGGGGAGGTTGCAGCTGGAGGGGAGAGGCGGTGGGTGTGGGCTGAGCCTGGCTCCCTTGGACCCCGCCGGCCCATCCTGTAGAGAGAGCGTGGACTTGCCGTTGGGTCAAATGCCAACTATTCTGGCTCCCTGGGAGGCAGCTTCTTGTGCTTCTGCTTCCGAATTACATCTAAGGGCATTTTAATTCATTTTCAGTTTTTCTAAGTAGGTAATATATTTGCAGGGTTTGACAATTAAAAAGAAAAAGGAAATGCAATGAAAAGTTGGCTTTCTACCTGTGGCTCCATTCATCCCGTTTTCCCAACCACTGTTACTGCTGTCTCTCTGTTCTTCATTTGGCCATGGGGCTTGTAGGATCTTAGTTCCCATACTAGCGATCAACCCAGAGCCCCTGCTTTGCAAGCATGAGTCTTAACCACCAGGGAAGTCCCCCCTTCCCCCTGGTACCTCTCTTACTGGTTTTTGGTCTATCTGTTCACAGTATCTTGTAGGTACAAGTAAATACAAACATACATTCTTATATCTCCTATTTTTTGAGTTTCATTGAGACATAATCAACACTTAACATTGTATTAGTGTTAGGTGTACAACATGATCATTTGATACATGTATATTTTGTGGTAAAATTATTACAATGCATCTAGTTAACATCCCTCACCTCACATAGTCACACTTTTTTTTTCTTGTGATGAGAAACTTTAAGAGATACTCTTACAGTTTTCAAATATACAATATAGTAGTGTTAACTATAATCACCATGCTGGACATTAACATCCTCAGGACTTATATATGATATAACTGGAGGCTTGTACTTCTTGATCCCTTTCATCCATTTCACCCACCCCACACCCCCCACCTAGGGCAACCACCTGTCTGTTCTCCATAGCTTGCTTTTAATTCCACATAGAAGTGAAATCATACAGTATTTGTCATGTATGCTGTGGCAAATGGTCTCTTATTTTTATACATCAAGTAACATATAAACTTTCACTTTTTCTTTCTTTCTTTCAATATATATATAGCTTGGATTTTTTTGCATATCAAAGCATCCCAAGCCTCATATTCTTTCTCACACTGCGTAGTGTTGCATTGCACAGATACACCGTCACGCAGGCGCTCGGTCCTCTATCGGTGGACACATGAGTTGCTTCTGGTCTTTCGCTGCTATAATCAGTGCCACAAGGGCCTTTTCCGGCCTTCACTTACCCCTCAGCAGCATCCCTGGAACTCACAGAAGCAAGAACTGCCCTCCCAGCCCCTCCTTGTCCCAGCAGCAGTATGTGTGTGCCCTCCTGTGTACCGTGCACACACACGCACACTTCTTTCAATGCACATGTTCCAAACGTTGGCCTACATCAGCATCTCTTGGAGGCCTGTTTCAAACCTGGGTTCCTGAACCTCCTCTTGCCCCAGAGTTTCTGATTTAGCAGGTCTGGGCTGAGGTCTAAGAATCTGTATTTGTCACAAGTTTCCAGATGCTGCTGCTGGTGGTGGTCAGGAGATGGCACTTTATTTTAATGTTTTGGCCATGCCACCCGACATGTGAGATATTAGATCCCTGACGAAGGATGGAACCTGTGCCCCCTGCATTGGAAGCACGGAGTCTTAACCCTGGGCCACCAGAGAAGTCCCTGGAGATGGCATTTTGCGAACCGGAGCTCTGGTGCATTCATCCTCAACACACGATTTCCTCCCTTGTAACCGGCGCTGTCCACCATTAAGTCCTTTGCTTATCTTCTTTCCTGAAGAAACTATCATTCTGGGCGGGGAGCGGAGAATGTGTCAGGGAGTCAGGAAAACAGAGGCCCACCGTCCAGTGACCTGCCTGCCGCGTGCCTTTGCTGGGTTTGGTTTCCTCATCTTGCTGAAGGTGCAGCTCTGTGACAGGACCAGGGCCGCGTGGAGCCAGTGGGATCGTGTGTGTGGGTACGTGTGTGGGTACTTGCTTTTGAACTCGAAAGTGGACTGCGCGTGGAAGGAGCCGTTGTTGTTTCTCAGCCAGCAGGACGTTTCCTCCTAAAGGAAGGAAATCGCTGAGCTGGCAGCAAAGGCAGCGCCCTGGGGAAGAATCTTAACTAATGGTTCAGGATGAAGGTACGCTGCTGCTGGAAGGGAGGGAGGAAGCCGTTGCTGCCCACCTCCTCTCTCTCTCCTCATGGAGCCAGGAGCCGCCTCCCTCTGCTCCCTGCCCCTTGGCCAGGTGTAGAGGCACTGCTGCAAATCACTGCAGCTTAGATGTGGGGAAGAGACCCCTCACAGTCGTGGGCGTGCCCCTCTGGTCACTGTCGGCCTTACTTCAGCGCATCTTTGTGCACTCTGTCTTTGAGGCTTACTATGAAATTAAAACTAAAGGTGTTCTAGAGAGTCCAGGTACTCAAATCAGCAAAGTATCCATCACCCTGTAGATTTGCTTCAAATCTAACTGGAATAAAATGTGAAAGAAAAAAAAAAAACTGCAATGCATTATTTTAGTTTTTTGGCGAGAAATCCCCATGACCCACAGAAGCAGGAATTGGAGGATTAATTATTCAGAAGGCCTGATATGAAGAGGTCTGACCTAAACTATCTCCCCAGCTGAAACTGATGGCATTTTTTTTTTCTGATGGCATTTTTAATCTGGAACTGCCATGAAGCTGTCAGTATGGAGAGCGACCCATTGCCAGGTGGACCATTTCTCTTGGGCATCCTTGCACTTCAGCTTAGGGATTCAGCCCAAAGTGCGCTGGCAGGAGCTGAGACAGCCGAGGGTAATCCCTCCTCTCTCTCGGCTTCCATGCCGGGGACCAGCGATGTCTGTGTCCTCTGTGGCCACAGGTAATCACAGTACTTCAATGAGCTGCGGTTACACAGTTTCCCCGGCAGGCCTGCGGGTCGCCCGGCTTCCTGCGCTTGGGGGTGGGGCGTTCGCTTGCCTGGTGCTGCCCTGAACCCCGGGCACCGCCCTGCGAGCGGTCTCTTTATTCAATTATTGGCTAAGCCCTTTTGAGTGCAGTGCTGTTTTCTGCCAAGACCCGACTGATGCCCAGGGATATCAGGGCTGATGCGCAGGGATTATGTCATCCGCGACAAACTGGGGCAGGGGCAGGTGTGCGCGCTGCAGGGCATGGTCGCAGGGCTGGGGAAGGGCAAAGACTGGGCGGAGGGCTACCGGCCATCACAACGGATGGTTGGCAGGGGCAGGATGAGGCCGCCGGCCGCTGAGCGCAGAGTCCGCTTCATCTTTGGGTGCCCATGGACTCTCAGTAATGTGAGTGAGTGAATAACGGTATTAATTCTCTGGATGGGTGCCAGAGAGAGCAATACAAGAGATGAGGGGAGAAAGAAGGGGGAGGAATAAACATCAAGTTTGGCCCCATCTTACTATGGCTTTTGTTGTTGCTTCATCGCTATGTCGTAGACCACCAATCTCCTCTGTCCATGGGATTCTCCAAGCAAGAATACCGGAGTAGGTTGCCATGCTCTCCTCCAAGGCATCTTCCCCACCCAGGGATCGAACCTGAGCCTTCTGAATCGGCAGGTGAATTCTCTACCGCTGAGCCCCCAGGGAAGCCCCTCGTGGCTTTGGGCCCGTCTAAAACCGAACTGGGCACCGACTAAAGGAAGCGCTGCCACATTCTGAGACGTCACTGCCTCTTGCCGTCATGAAGCTGAGATTCTAGCTTAGCAAAAAAACTGATAATTAGGACACGTAAAATCTTATTCTTTTTTTGGCCACACCATGCATCTTGTGGGATCTTAGTTCCCCGACCAGGGACGGAACCCCAGCCACGGCAGTGAAAGCACCAAGTCCTAATCACTGGACCACCAGGGAACTCCTGTAAAATATTTTTAAAATTGTTGCTATTTAATATTTTAAAATAACTATTTTCTCTTCACATTCCTATGTTAACTTTTTTTGGAAAATAGATTGAAGCCTAAAGCAAAGGATGAAAACCACTAAGAAGTAATCTGTACCATCCTGAATATATCCTTACAAACCTGAGAGAGGGAAAAACTCTGTAACTTGCTTTTAACTCAAGTTACAGTAGATCTTAAAACACTTTTCATGTCACCAGCATCATTTTATCAGCTGAGGTATGAGTATTAGCCTTGAAATGAAGTGTAACGCGCAGCCAATAAAATAATAGCTAACACTGCCTGAGTACTGACTCTCTGCCAGTTACCAGGCTAACTAGATCACATGTATTAACTGGGTTAGTCCTTATAAGAATCCTGTGAGGTAGGTGTTGCTGTTGTGCCCATTTTATACAAGAGGAAGCTAAGACATAGACGGTTTGAATAACTTGTGAAATTCAAGGAGACAGGAGTCACACTCAGAGGTTCTGGCTCTAAGGATGGGAGGCAAGTTTGGCCACTGTATCTCACTGGGAGATCTGGCTCCCATTGCCTGGAATGTGGGTTCAATGTGCAAGGTCCA